CTCTTAAGAGATTTTTAAAATCAACTTATCACAAACAATGCCATTTCCTCTTTTTCTAATGTAAGTATTGCAAACTATTTCGTTTCATCCCGCTTATTTACTGGGTAATCTACACATCTTTTTAAGCACACCAACCTAATTCCCGGTTTATTTTGCTACAGAATCGTTTGTGGTTGTATCTTTGTTGTTTCTAATTCTGTAAGACCATAAGACTTAATTCTACCTCAATCAGGTTATTGGATATGCAAAATGACGGTCAGAAGAATAGCAATTCTGATTTCCTATTGAAGTTGTTTGACCTTGTTTTCGCCATTCGCAGCACCATATTACAACTCGTCAAAGAGACTTGGGAACGTACCACGTCCACGGACCTACTCTCGAAATAATGATGCATACAATGGACTCTGGACAAGGTGCGTTCCTCTAAGTCTTCCTACCAATATTGGAAATGATCATGCATACAATGGACTCCGGACTAGGTGCGTTCCTCTAAGTCTTCCTACCAATTTGACCATGTTGCGAAAACAAGGTCAAACAACTTCTATACAACGAAAGGAGACTGCGACCACACAAAAGGCCACACCATCGTTGTCTTCATATCTCTGATTCCCTATTGTTTATTGGTTCATCCCCTACTCTACTCAGAGTTATTTTATATTTCCACAGGGTTTGTTTTTACTTTTTGTGGAAAGTAGAATCCAAATTAAATTCATTCTTATGTAGACTCATCTTGTATTGAGGTCGATGATGATGTCGGCCGATTCTCGTTCTCCAGCCAAAAGGTTGCAACAAAGGTTAACGCAGCCCTCAATACATCCTTTCTTGTTTCAGGCAAAATCTTGCTGAGATTCCATCTGTACGCTTCAAGTTAATGCTATATCATGAAGACATATTACAGCTAAAATCGAAAATCTATAGATATAGATGGATAAATATATAATGTTTTGGCTCCTTATTTTTCATATTCATTTATTTATTCATATTTGAGTATGTGAGTGGGTGTTTTAACATCTGTACTCGTGCAACTAAGAACACAAAATACAATAATTGCAATACTGGGCCATCCAAGCTTAATGACCTAACAAAAAGCGTGATTGGGATTGCGTAAGTCTTTGTAAGTTGTAATTTTGTACAGTTGTAAATCAACATCGAAATAATCTGTCTGCTGTCATCTAATCATTGGCTTAATGTTCTTTCCTTCCTTAAGTCCATTTATGAAACAATTAGTTCTTACTCTGGTCTTCTCCCTTACTTCCATTCCATAATCCTTTCTGTATTTAGATGCTGCGTGATTCCCTAACTAGCCAGGAGTTACGATCAAGAGGTGCTGTTCCATGGAATTATATGAACAACCCATCTTCTGGAGCCTCTGGTGGTGATCTCAGCTCCATTCGACTGATCGCTAGAGTCGCTCTTTCCCATCTTATGAATCACTTGGGTCAATTTCCGCTTGTAGGTCTAAAATGATTTCATATTTATGTATCTTCATAGGGATTTACAAATCTTTTGTAGCAACTAAGTCTTTTATATCATTTTTCTAGCAACTTCTCCATTTGGCTAATGGCTCCCTTTTTTAACACTCCTGAAAGCCAGTTTGCATTACTATGTTTTTTTCCTATCCCGTTTTTTTTCTAACTCAATTTTCTCAGCTGTGGTGTATTAATCTTGTTTGTGGATTACATTAATTTTTTTCCCATTGAAAGTCATTTATTTTAGTTCTTTTCTGTAAACGCTTCTCTGCGTGCTTTATTAAGCTTGAGCACACGTTATATAACTATGAGATTTATGAGATCACCTCATTTAAAGAAAAAATAATTATCCTATAATAAATTTCCTCTACTTTGTATAAGCTT